AATACAAATTTGAAAGCTTCTTTTTCTAGAGATATTAATAGAGCATTTGGTATGCATTTTATCTATCCTACTAAATGCTACTTATGTAAATTTAGTAGTGATGTTCTCATGCAGATATTTCTGATAGGTATAAGGGATTTGTCTGTGAATAGAAGTTAGATAGACAAGGTCATAAGTAAGACGAGAAATAAGCACTCACGAGACATTTATAAACGACAATTGCAATAAGATGGCCTGAAGAGAAGTGATAGAGTTGCCAATAGCCATGTATACAAGCAACGGCATCAGATATCGCGTTTAATGGACCAAGCAGGAGCAGGGCTCGTGGTCCTGGCTAGCGCGCTGGGCTGAGATGACTGCAGCTGATGATTGAGATGGTGAGGTTTAGAACGGCAATTGACTCGTCGCTGTCGTTCTGCCTCCTGTACGGCTGAAGTAACGTTTTGATTGGCGTCCCGCAACTCCTGGAGTACTTCATCCAAACCACGCATGTTTAGACGCGCTAGGTCACCAGGCATCTTTTCCTCTGATTCATAGACGCCCGAGCCAAAGGAAAATGACTTGCTTGGCTGCGATTTTTGACCGCTCTTCATCAGGTCCGAGGCAAACTCTGTCTCTCCTTCTCTTCTCTCTCTCGACTTTTCCTCTCTGTACGGGCGATAAGTCAGCCCACTCGACATGCCTGCCATCCAGCTCTGACGTGGAACCTCCATTGATGCTAATGGCACAAAATACCCTCTTCTTAATATGATAAGTGTCAATTAAAACTGTAATCAGATGAAACCAATGATTGCATTAGTAATTTAGGTGAGGAGAACTAAACTACATCAAACAGTCGTGATCCTCGACCCCTTCAGGGTGTTCGCATGCCATTCCACAAGTGATCAACAATTCTTTCAAAACTATCACAATTTCATGATAATAACTTCAGATGTGGGTCCATCCAAAGACAGTCGGCACATGTCCTTGTTGCTAGTTATACGTGCACTACGGCATAATGCTCCACCAATCATGCAAAGCTTCGCTCTAAGACGAAGGTGGCGTAATGAGTGCAAAAGGACACGCCCAGGAATCACGCTTGGGATTTACCACATAGCAATTCATGCCTGACCGTTTAAGCTACTCTATATTGAGTAAAAGTTGTCATTAGACAAACGTAATGATGATATTTGCATCCATACAACTTAAACTAAATCAAGATAATAAATACAATTACGCTTACAAATTTGACAAGTAAAAAAATGACCGATTCGGAACAAGTATTCTCCCAGTTACAAACAAATGGGTGAGTGGTGGAATGGACCAGGGAGGAGTGATTGTGCTAGATCATCAGTCGGAGGTAGTAGTTTGTTTTCTTTACGACAATGCTAGCATTTCTGCTTGCTTTTCAATGCAACCCCAGTTTCGCATTAAAATGTGTGTGGGGGTACAGTGATTGTAGCAGCCTGATGAGTAGAAGCGTTGCCTAATTGGTAGTTTTCAAGGTCAATGCCTTTTATAGGCGTGTTTTGAAACCACCCTGGCACCTGACTAGAGCGACGAAGGTGCAAAATTGACAATGGAGAACTGTAGGAGTTTAGGTACGCATGAAATCATAGAAGGCCTTTATTCACCCCATAGTCCATAATACTAATGTTAATTTAAGTTTCTAATACGCTTTTAATGTATTTTTTCATAATCAGTGGCTAAATCGCGAGAGCCAACTGTTGCAGATCAAGGGTAGTCTAGAACTCAAAGATCTCCTCATTTTAATGGGAAAAAAAATTCGTTAGACTTTACCAATACCAAAGCTCTGCGACTTAAAGATCCACCGTCAAGTTAACAAGGCTGCTTCATCCTACTAGTCAAGAGCTTTGAAAGGGAAGGAAATGCAAGAGTACAATGGAGCAAAGTACCAGCATTTCGTGATGTAACTGAAAGTACGTGGTGTGCCATGATATCACAACATACTTTGGCGATAATTGGTCAGATCGAAGGTCTTCAGGGAGTGGTGAACAAATTGTTTGGTGGGGACGGTCGGAGGTGTATTATTGATGGCACCCTCGCCGTTGCACTTAACCTGACCTTCAGAATTGCTATCATCACCTTCAGGAGCATTAGTAGCATTGGTGGCGCTAGTGTTCAGGTCGCGATTTTGGCGGGGTGGAAGAAGGGAGGCAGTGGGTGGAGGTGGGGGAGGTGGGAGGTTGGCGTCCTCTACACGCTGCCCGCTAGTCCCTGGCGGTCGCGAATTGTTGTTCAGACGCCCACCCTCCGACGCCTGCATATCTGTTTCACTTGGCTTCTCCCCAATCTCCAAATTGGGCACGTTATCGTAGAGGCGAGGTTGATGCACAGCCCCATTCAATGTTACTTCCTTTACTTCTGTTGCTTGCGTCACTGGTATTGGTTCTTTTACTTGTCCAGTGGTCTCTAGCTGCGCATTGATCTGGGTAGACAACAATTAAAACAAAGTGTTTTCATGGGCAGAAAGCACCGGTGGAAGAGATTTGGATTATCTTTATCAAATTATTGAGTCTTTAACAAGCTGTCTCAATGGTTCCTGGGCGTACTGCCTGTTGACTGGCTAACGCTGTTTTTCATTCGCCGCCGTTATTTTTATGCAGGTACCCGTGTATAATGCATGAACTTATCAATATGATACTTTACAGGCAGCATATTCACTCATCTCATAGTATTAACTCGGTGGTATGCATTGACTGAGAGTTTTGGCATGATGAGAAGCATGGTGATAATTAGGCTTATGAAAGCCTTAAAATATGCGTCAAGCAGTATGAAAAATAAAGCACCAAGGAAGTGTTATTTTTCTTTTATTTGATTTAAAATTTTGATTTTTGACAATTGAGTCCAAACGAGTCCTCATCAGGAATTGAGAATATTGTGCTGAGTAAATATATCCAGTATAACAAACAAGTAAAATCTGATTGCAACCTTATTCCTTGTCAAAAGTTTAATGGTTCTTACCGCTCACTCAAACTGCATTTCATTCCTCTTAAAACAGCTGTAAGTCGAGTTAGTAGTTAAGTGGCCTGCAATTTAATCCTAACAAGTTGCTCATCCAACAAATCTTAGTAGGATGAGTGCAAGAAATCCGGGTTCATAGAAAAATGTACTGTACTGCTTATGTTAATGTCATTTTTATGTAAGCATGATAAACATCACTAAGCTTTAATTGCCCAAAGCTCACTCTAATAACTATGAGCATACACTTACAGCTTTTCCTGGTGACGCAATAAACACGCCATTGTTATCATCCGCAGCCTTTTCCATTGGCTTTAGTGGGGAAACGGTTGAATCAGCGATATTGTTGGGTGAGCATTTCCTTTGCATCTTCCCTTCTTCCTTCTGCAATGCACTCTTATTTAATGGTTCCTCTATTTCTCGTCTGACTGGCGTTGATGAGGCTCTCTTGAAATTCTCCGAGGGCCACCAGTTACCACTGCCGCTGCTACTGCCACCGACGTTAACAGCACCACGCCAATTTCTCTTCGGACTAGGACTTCTGTTACCCAGTTTTGAGAGGGATTTAGCACTTCCTAAGTCCGGGGAGCCCTTCGAGGGCACTGGTGGCGGAAGCTGACCTGCAGCACCGGAAGACCCTGTCTCGGCAATGAGACTTTGATCTTGATGGTGCTGCAGAAGCTGTTGTCTCGCGGCCTGCTCCTGACGCAAACGCTGTTTGGCTTCGAGGGCGAGTTGGCGAATTTGCGAGACGATGGCATCCACCGGTTGGCCATTGTTGGGGGAGCACATAAAGAAGAAGTGACCATCTCCAGTGGAGCATCGACGACCTGCATCGACACGCAGCACCCCTCCCACTGCGCCAAATCTGCAATCGGACAAGCCGGTTATCGGTTCTACATTTCGTCGTCGTTTTCACTAATGTGTTCAGTATTCGCATATCAAAAGGTGTGTGACAGCTGACGTTCTTACCCTTTCATTAAACGCAGTTGTATATGCTCACATCATTTCCACAAAATAAGCAAAATATCCTTGTCAATTTGCAGCAATCTTAAAACAAAATGTTCTGTATAGGTACCATGTACATTATGTATTCCAAATAAAGTACACAACTAAATCAGTAAATCGAAACATACCTAGCTAAACCTGATTATGAACACTTTATACTTAGTAAACATATGGATTGAGATTTCGAATTGAAGTGATATAACATCGCTAACTGCTTTTGATAAAGTTTCTTTCAATGAAGTTATGCAAAAAATAATGTTGGATGTGAATACGGTTGTCTGGACACAATAACTCTACTTTGCAGCAAAGCATGAGCACATGGAACAGAGCAAGGATGAAGCAGATCCATGCTGCTTTGCATGGCGTTTATAGGCTACATACTGGCTGTATCGTGCAGATGGACTGCGGTGACCGCCGTAGACACGATAAAAAAGACAGCCTTCTTAAACGCCTGTGGGTACGTGGGCGAGGCAAGTTTGGTTGAACTTTGGTGTGGACTTTGAGCGAGCTAGCACGTGCAACAGACACGAAGCTATGGCATCCATTTCTTGGACAATTTGCCTAGTCATGCACCAACGTACCTCCTCGGGTAGTTTGGACGCCACCTCAAAATCAATGGTTATCTAGTGCGCCACTCTACGAGACACCATCTTCTGAGCTGCTTTGTTCAAGAATGCGTCGATAAACCTAGTTCATCATTCATGCAAAAAAATCCGAGAATTTCCCGAGCCCACACACAACCAAAGGCACCTGATTAATCTGGCACATAACTCCGTCGTTTTCCCCTTTTCCCCTTATGAGGAGTATTCCAAAAATGAGTCTTTACAAGCTTTTTACTGTTCAATTTCAGTGCGATTTAGTGAGGAGGACTTATGTGATAGTTGTACAATCTTAGTTTTCATTCACAAGAATTTGTGTGTGGGAATTATTGCCTTAATTTCCAACTTAAGGCACAACACGTCTCAGTCTACGTACCGATCTGTTGCATCCACTCTGAATATGCTGGGAGGAGTGCGAAATGCGAGAAAAGGAGAACGCAAGCATTATTGTCAATAAGGGGACAAGCCTGTAACCATTGAATGCTGGATGTGATGGTAAAGCTCTGAGCCAAATTAACCCTAACAATTAAGCATGAAGAAGAAGCTATCGAAATCATATCAAGCGAGAGTTCACACCACGATGTCCAAATTTTCCAAGGCAACACATTCCTCTAATCATCGTTTGTTATGACTTCTGGATCGAACTGCAAGATGTTGCTTGGCCGTAACCTTAGCCGTAAAAGGCAAATATTTAATCGTTCTGAAGCGTCATACATGCTTTACTATAGCTATCCTTGTAACCGAAGCGTCAGAGAAAACACGGAGGAGAGTTGCAGATTCCCAATTTCCTGTGTGAGCACCTGATTGAGTGTACAGTTATAAAGCCAAAGACAATGGTTTAGTGAAGATTACAAATAATCTTGATCATGTTCTTGTCAACTCCTCCAGACTGTGAACTCCCCACTTAACACGTTCCACATCAAAAATTACCCATCTCTGTTTGGTTACTTCCGTAACGTCTTTTTCAAAGAAAATATTCATCAGTCCAAAATCGCCCTTCTCAAAAAGCCGATTAAAATGCTTGTGCTACAGCTAAAGCAAACGTTCTGTGTAGCTAACCAAATGATTGGCAGAAATAATCACTTTCTTTTTCGAATTTTGGAATACTAGAACGACCAACTGACTTGTCGCGGAATAGCTTCAAACTCTCTTTGGGAATCTGAGAGCGTTCCATTCATTTCCAAAATGCAATATTTCTTAACTATGCCTTGGTGATGTGCATAAACTAGGCTTTCCAATGGACAGTAAGTACATTCTTACGGGTATGCGCTCTCTAGAGTGCGTTCAAATGCACCCTCAGTCCTGTTGGCATGCGCATGTCGATACCCGATCCGTGATTTACGCCGATTTACGCAGTGGCATGCAACTCTGCTCCCATGTACATGCAAACTTGCCTCTGCGCCTCACGGAGGCCTCAGCGGTCACGACGCGTGGCACGCAATTGCGACCTAGGCGGAGCACACACAACGCCTTGGCACTCCAACTGCCCACTTAGAACTTCTACTTGCACTAACAATTGGCTAAACGATCAACATGTAATTAAGTACATGCATTTGTACTGGGATCTGGTCCATCCTACAAATTGCAAGTGAAAAACTTTACCCTTATTTTAAAGCCTCAGCTCGACTTGACAAACTAACTTATTAACTACACACACATGCAACGACAGGTAATCCAATTTTATTTCAATGTTTCTGGAGCAGTACACTTCCTTGTGCATTGCCCTACCCCTTTCATTGCATTGTACATCCAACTTAGGTTCGCATTCACAGGTTCGTAGTAATGCAACTTCTTTCCTTTTTAAAGTACAGAGACGGTCTCCAATTAACGTTCCATCGTAGGTGTTTATGAAAACAACAATACTTTACTCATCATACCTAGACAATTTGCTCTCCGATGTCTATAAAACAGTTTACGTGGAGTGAAGACGAGCAGTAGCAACAACCTCATCATGACCTCGCATAGTGGTCGATGAAGTAAGCCCAATACGAAAAGCAAAGCGAAAAGAATTTAGCTCTTTTCAAATACCACAGTAATCAACACCCATTAGGTCAACCAAACGGTGAACCCACACTTGAAAAAGTGGCTCTGCTAAAACAACCAGCGAATTCATATTTAAAATATTTTTTTGACGGGACGACTTTCAGGAAGTGGATAGTAACCACAGGGAGGATTTCACATGTCAATCGACATCTCAAAAGGTTCACTTGTCTGCATTCATTCCGTGTGGCGTATGTGATGTAATATTCTACCAACACCAGGGTAGGCAGTGAGTCACTCCAGCACTGCTACCGCTATCCTCAGCATAAACGATGTATGAAGATACGGACCACGCCTTCCTAGGAGGTTGTTGCCGTATAACATTTTACCGGTTGTGGGCGTATTTAAAGTCGCTCTAGCTCAATTGGTCATTTGGTTCTCACACGAAACCTTCCGTTCGTGTGTTTTATGCTTTGCAGTTTTATATGGTGTGCAATCGCCTTTAAGCCGCACACGACTGCCTCCATTTATTCCCTTTTGAAATTCAGATATAACGAATTCTCAAACAGGGATTATGACTCTTGACTGAAAAGTTTTTGCTTTTGGTGTACCAAATGGATCCAAATTTCTTTCCATTCAATAGGCGATACGAATGGGATTACACGAAGGGAGGTTGAGGAAAGTAATCTGGAACTAAAGTGGTTAAACTCCCGTTTTGAGGCTTCAAGTTTTAACGGGTGAAGTTGACACTATTTTCCCACATTACTCCTCCTGTTCTTGAATAAGCGATCGAGTAGTTGCAGCAGTTCAAAAACTGTCAAATGACTCTTGCCGAAAGAGGCGGAAATAAGGGGAGCGTAGCGATGAAGTCGTCTAGTCAAGTCAATGCGTCAGCTGCGTGAGAAATCGCATGGCAGCTCGAGCGGCACCAGCCAGTCGGCCTCACGTGAACCACCGCCAGGGCGGCGTGTATGTGCGAATCAGGCTGCATCAGGCTGATAGTAATAAACTCGCCGTGTGATCACCTGAAAGCGCTGAAGGCTCACCAACTGCGCTTCTTTGCGTCGCGGACACTACACGATCGAGAAACATGCAAAAATGCAACCGAAGTTCACCCACTATTCAGTTCGGTCCTGGGCCTTTTGAGAAATACTGCTGTATTCTCCAATCCCTTTGTACTGTGGAAGCACTTCTCAGACTCCATAAATCAGTGTGGAGCATCAAAGACGAGCAGATACAAGCGGTGCTCTTCATGATTTATTCGGTCTCACTGGACATAAGTAGTTGATTGAACTATTTGAATCATTGTGATCAAATGTTCTTATACAGGGACCCTCTTTATTATCCATTTTTGGAGAAATCACACCATCATTTTATTTGCATGGCAAATAACTATTAGTGCTTGTAAACATACAACACATGCAAATGAATTCGGTCCTAGAATTTCTACACAAAATTCACCAGTCTAGAGTATGAGATTGCAAAAATACTTCACAATTCCATGCAGAGTTTCTTGCGGTTTCGTTCTGATGCAAGCGATGTTTACATTAGGGACTCACACAACCGCATCCTAAAGATGCGAAAAATTCACATGAATAGTAGATGTTGAGGCAGCATTCTCAAACCTTCAACAAAACGTGGCTTTAGGAAACTCTAGACGCACTAATAATGACCGAGTTAATAATAGGGCTCTTTTAAAATTATCAAAACTCTGTTTACACATTTACAACAGCTATTAACTTTACACCAAAACTCAGTACTAGCTGATTACAAACAGCGTTTCTCACCACATTCGAATCTTACCGTTGCTGGCTAAGAATGCCTAAGGACTAATAATGATGGTGGAGCACTTTGTCCCCAGTCTCGATAAAGAAAGGGCTATGCAATTCGAAGCAGTGCCACGGGATCATAAAGAACGCTCTTGTCAATGCGACTTTTAGCTTTCGTTCCCTAGTACCAGATAGTCCAAGAATTGGACTATCAGAGGGCAGTGCAGAACCAAGCGAATAAGTTTTTAACGGATTTATCCTTCTTCTTGAAGTTTGTGACCCTTACATACTCCTTGCCGACAGGCCATTTTCGCATATCACACCTGTAACTAGAAGTAAACAGGGAGCTAAGAAACTGGGTGTCACTCCGTGCTAAGGAGTTGGTTTTTCTTTGGTCCTCTCTTACATAGGCAAAGATTTTCATGCAATGTGCGTGCAATGAAACAATTGCCTTATTAATTGAGGCCAAATGTATCTCTCAGGTTGTGCAAGTCCATAAACTCTGAGCGCCTGAAATAGGCTTGCTAAATTTTAATGATATGTGTGAAGTTATTAGTGAAGAAGTGTCGATGTGGAATTAATAGTGCCATTTGTTTATAACAAACCGAAGAATTTTGAACAAATCCGAGTTGAGACTAGACTGGCAAGTAAGTAAGCCTGTATTTCTCGTACTCCTTGCCAAGGAAATATAAACCAGGGTGAGATTAGTAAATGTGACCCAAAACGACGGGTAGAAACATGCGAATCAGCACACCAAATCACCTTTCCCACGTTTGAGGCTGAGAAATGTATTTTTTAATGTATGAGAAAAGCAACTTAGTAATTTTGCCATTGCAAAAAGTCATTGATGTTT